TAAACTTGCCACTGTTATATACCTGAAACTAATGTAACATTGTGTGTCAACCACACTCAAATAAAAGGAAAAAAACTCACAGTCTTGAGTAACCTGATTGCTTCAGCATGCAATTCACTAATCTATGATGATAAACTACTAAAATTGGTTCATAAATCACTTTTACCTCTTGCGCTTCAGTTTCCTCAAATATTTGTAAAAGAAATGCACAGATTTTTCTAAGGTCCCTCACAGTAATTATGCAATTCTATTCCAATAGATGCTTAACTATAAAACTCATTTTAACAATTTCCAAGGATCTGGGGAACTTTCCAGACATGATCTCAATCAATCCTCTTTGCTCTGAAGATTCCACATTATAGATCAGGAGCAGGTTACAACAACGCAGAGCATACAGGCCCCATGAGATACTTCATCTTCTCCAGCCCACCCACACCCACTCTGAGCTAGCTGTCTGCCCATTGTGAATCAATAAGTGGAAGGATAGAGAGGTCACTTTGGATGGGTACTGAGTTAATGGACATACTTACAGTCTCAGGAGATTTTTAAAAATCACTTTAACTCTATTAACAGCTCAAGTTCCCTCCCTTATTGCCCAAGAGTGGGGCTCATCATCTGTTCCAAAAGGTTGGGAAGGAATCTGATGCTCCCCCAGGGAAGGGGCTCATAGTGAAGAAACACAGGGTATATGTCTAGGGGATTTCAATTTGTGACAACATCTGATTGTGCAAAGTGCAAAGAGAACTGACGTATACTAGAGACAGACTCCAAGCTAGCTAGGCCCCACACACACACGCCCACGGCTTTGTGAAGCAGTAATATAGGATGGTAAATTCTAAATTTTGCCAAGCCACTCTCTTGCTTAATTTGAAGAACCAAGCATTTTCCAAGTACAACCCACCCACAAGCTGTTCGCCCATTTATTGCTGCATGGTATCTTGCCCATGCTCTCTTGATTTGCTGATAAGTAGCTAAGAAGATATTGGACTCAAACAGCACATCAACATTCAATATCCCATATTACTAGTTTTTCCTACAGTTTTCCAGGGTGATTAGGTTGAGACTAATCAGAAAATAATTGACTTTCCCAAAGCCATCTGCTACACTCTGCTACTCTGTTGCTGTCAAACTGTGCTCTGATGATTTTTTTTCCAGTAATTTCCTAACTATAGCAGTTTCAATTATGTCAGGAATATCCAAGCACTCAATTTTGCTTTGCTCGAAAATGGCCACCCTGACATAGCTCCTTTCCAAAATGTAAGCAGCAGAGTGGTGCCACTTGTCTATTCTCTCCTAACATTGTGGGGAGGGGGTAGAAACGTGGGTCCTCCTTTTACCAAAGGGCAACACTACGATGGAGCCTTCAGAGAGAGAGTTTCTATAGGGCACCCATTGGCCTTCCTTTGCAAACTACACATTTGGTGTTATAGCCTTGTATTTTGGTCTGTTTAATTTGTGGACTGAGAAGAATGGATCATGTTATCGGACTGTATTATTCACGAGCAATGGCAAGATGGCAACCACACAACTTTACATTACAAAGCAGGTTGTGCAACAAATCTTTAAACAGTATGAGATGGTGGTATCCCAGGACCAAAGTCACCCCCCAAACCATGTCTGAGGAGCTGATGTCTGCCTAGTCCCCAGTACTTTCTTCTCCTTGGTTTCACTTATTAAAATTTTTAACCGAGGGATATTTCTTCCCTGATGAGTGTGCAAACTCCCAAAGGGACGGTTATTTTCAGGTCCTCTCCCCAGGGCAGTCACATCCACTTAGGTTGTTGGAGCGCCACACAGTTTGGGCCCCTCCTTCATCACTTACCACCACTCTTGCTTAAGATCTGTAAGCCTGTGGACAAAGGCCATCTCTTGGAGGCATTTTTCTATCTTTCAGACTTATTTTTATAGAGTTTTTTGGGTCATAAACAAAAACTCAGGAGGGGAAAAAACAATCTGCTATAGCAGTACTTAGAGCAAAAACCTGGGCCATGATTGACGTTCTTAGGTTTTTTTCCATTCCTTTTCATAAACATTTATTGAGAAGTGGCTTATATGGCAAGCCCTGGAAACATAAAGATGAAAAAGAAATATACTCCATCATCAAGGTGCTCAGAGTCTACTGGGGAAGGCAGATGGCATTCAAAGAGATAATTACAAGAATAATGAGATTTAAAACAGGGATTTCAGAACATAAATGAGATACCAATTAATTTTGTCCACCTGAGTAAGCACAAACTGCCCCCAGGACCTGCCCCCCACCCCAGGCAATGTTTTTACCTTTCCCTCTCCTCAAACCTTCCTTCTCTAAGCTCTAACCCTCAGGTAGGAGTATTAAGGGAAGTCAAGGGTGCAAACTGGTTCTTCATTTGCATTTCCCTGTTCAACACATTAGCTTTGTCTAACTACTTAGAACCCCCAAAGACGATTTAAAATGTCAAGCAAAGAAGGAAGAGGACTAAGATTTGTACCATAGTAAAAATGCCTCTAGATATGGACTAGAAGAGAATCTGCACAAGAGATAAGGATGGAGGTTTAGGATAGTAGAAAATACATGTGAATATCTGCCTTTTTTCTTTTTTTACTATTTTATACCAAAAGGTTAATTTTTTTTTTTTTTTAACTAGGCTCCACACCTAGCATGGAGCCCAATTCAGGGCTTGAACTCATGACCCCAAGATCAAGACCTAAGCTGAGATCAAGAGTTGGACACTTGGGTGCCTGGGTGGCTCAGTTGGTTAAGCTACTGCCTTCGGCTCAGGTCATGATCCTGGAGTCCCTGGATCGAGTCCCGCATCGGGCTCCTTGCTCGGCAGGGAGTCTGCTTCTCCCTCTGACCCTCCCGCCTCTCATGTGCTCTCTCTCTCCTCTCATCCTCTCTCTCAAATAAATAAATAAAATCTTTAAAAAAAAAAAAAGAGTTGGACACTTAACCGACTGAGCCACCCAAGCACCCCTAACAGTTTAATTTTTATTTTTTAAAAAAGAGAATGTATTTTGATGCAATTTACACTGCCCTTCAATGAAGCCCTCAAAAAAAGATAAACAGTGTAAGAGATTAGGTTCAGTCTGACCTCCTCAAACAGTGGGGATTATGTGGTGTGACAGGAAGGTTGTTGAAGTTTGCTCAGCACTAGACACTGAACCAAACACACATTCCATTCTAATTCTTATATTCTTTTTTTAAAAAAAAGATTTCATTTATTTATTTGAGAGAGAGTGAGAGAAAGCACGAGCAGGGGGGCCGGCGGGGGCAGAGGGAGAAGCAGGTTCCCTGCTGAGCAGGGAGCCCGATGTGGGGCTTGATCCCAGGACCCTGGGATCATGACCTGAGCTGAAGGCAGATGCTTAACTGACTGAGCCACTCAGGCACCCCTAATTCCTATGTTCTTAAAGCGCATTTGACATAAGTAACTAAATTCTGGTCCAAAGAAACCTTTCTGATGTTCAGAGTCAATTTTTTATATACATATTTTTTAAAGATTTTATTTATTTATTTGACAGAGAGAGACACAGCGAGAGAGGGAACACAAGCAGGGGGAGTGGGAGAGGGAGAAGCAGGCTTCCCGCTGAGCAGGGAGCCCAACACGGGGCTCGATCCCAGGACCCTGGGATCATGACCTGAGCCAAAGGCAGACGCTTAACGACTGAGCTACCCAGGTGCCCCAATTTTTTATATTTTTTATTTGTATCCACATTGAACACTTGCAAATAGAAAAGGGTTGGAAGGAGAAGAACTGTGGCCTACTTTCTCTAATGTGTGAAGTTCTGGCTCTGAGAACTTTTAAATGATAGGGTTTCACGAGCAGTGGCAGCTTAGGAACAGAGACGTCTACAGGTGACCATCTCTGGACTGCCTGTGCCTGCCTTCACAGTTCAACATGTTCTCTTCCAGTGGAATTCCCCTCAGCACCAATCTTGCATTAAATGTCCATCATTACTGTGGACAACCACCACCACCCACCACCAATGCTGTCACCAGAATTCATTAAATGCCCAATGCTTTCCAGGCAGCACCTCATTCAGTCTTCACAAAATCCTGTCCACTAGGTCCTGTGTCACAGATGAGGAAACAAGGGGCCTAGGAGGATGAAGTGACTTGCCCAAGATCATACACTAGCTGGTGTCAAGCCTGAACTTGAAAACGGCACTTGACTCCAAACCTTTACTCTTTCCAATATGTCTTATTTCTACCTACGCCTTTACCGGAAGCTTCCTCTGTACCTGGCTTGACTGCAGGGAAGTGACCCCTGAGAATCTGAGCGGAGAGGGAGGGTGGACAGTGATGCTCTGTCAAGATTGGATTTAGACTCAAATCCAGACACAAACTTGTTTTTTGAGATGTCCATCCCGGCTGGACACAGCTCACACTTGAGTATTTGAATACTGGTGTAATAGATGCCATGTGACAAATGAATTAAAATCCTAAAAGGGAAGTGGCTAGTATGAGTTTTTTTATAGGTCCTATCCTGAAAAGTGAGTCATCCATCATTTTATACTTCCCTATCTTTACCCAAATCTCTCTAAATGTTCATACCTTCCCTGCACGTCTTCTGTGCTAACCCTTGCCACCATCCCTAACAGACAAAGGGAAGAAACTAAAAGGCAGAAGAAGTGATGGGACAGACACAATCAAAACGGGACAGGCCCATAGTGAACAAGCTCTGAGACTTCTCAGATCTTCTTTTTCTCTTGCCAACAGAGACATGGAGTGTATCATCTATGCTCCCAATGTTACCAAAGCCCACCCCCTTTCAGCACCAGAACTGCAAAAACATATTTGCATGCAAATAGGGTAGAAGGCACAGATGCAGAGCACAAATACAGGGAGATGATAATTTTTTCTCATCCCAAGACCTATCATTATAACCTCTGCAAGCTAGGATGCTTAATTGGCAAAGCCCCCTCAGAACAGAGAGAGCATCCCTCGTGAGTGTCCCTCTGCATGCCGACTACGTGTGGGCCGACTTGGCACTGGTACAACAACCTCCACTCTTCTCCAGTACAGGCTGCAATTACACCCTTCACTCAACAGACTCTACCCACTGCGAGTGACCACGGCCAAATGGAACTCTGGCAGACAGTTTTCCGAAGCGCCACTAAGTCCTCAACAGCTACGGAGAGCTACAAGCATCATTGTGCATCTGCGACAACTGATCCATGTTTTATCACCTTCTTTGCTCTTGTACTAAGTCTTCGGCCTAAAAGGAATGAACATTATGTTTCTTGCTCTTATCCATCAAGGTTCAGAGAAACAAACCACTTAATGCCACAAAAAGGTAAAGGAAGTTCAAGTAATTCTTTTTCTCACTTTGCCCCATGAGGTTATCAGATGCCCAAATATCTAATAAATTCTCTTCCCTATGCCCTAAATCAGCTAAGACACTGATAATCACTCTTTCAAAAGAGACGTGAAAAATAATCTGCTTCAAATTCAGTCACATCACCGGGAGATGGTATATGGTCTCTCCACCCACTTCTCAAACTTAGCTTGTGCTTTTGATTTTTGGTCCTGGCAATGCATTCTGTAGTCCTCAGTCTTCATTAACAACCACTATTCACAAGGCACTGTGGTATGCCAAGGCAGTTGGCACAGTCCATCTCGGAGCCCTAGACCAAGCATCAAGAGATAGATATTTTTTTCCTGTATCTACCTACCTTTTATTCACATAATCTTTTACTGTTTCCTTTCTTTATTGCATCTATTTTTAATGATTTAAAAAGAATGACATGCTCCTTCTAGAAAATTTTGGAAAGGAGAAAAATGTATACAGAAAAGTAATAAAAAACGCTACCACTTAAAGGTAACATTGACAAAGATTTTTTCTTAAAGATTTTATTTATTTATTTGAGAGAGAGAGAGTGCATGAGCAGGGGGACAAGCAGGCAGAGGGAGAAGCAAACTCCCTGCTGAGCAAGGAGCCCAATGTGGGACTGTAGCCCAGGACCCTGGGATCATGACCTGAGCCAAAGGCAGACGCTTAACGACTGAGCCACCCAGGCGCCCCCCTTGACAAAGATTTTTTTTTTAAGATTTTATTTATTTATTTGACAGAGAGACAGACAGCGAGAGAGGGAACACAAGCAGGGAGAGTGGGAGAGGGAGAAGCAGGCTCCCCAACGAGCAAGGAGCCTGATGTGGGGCTCGATCCCAGGACCCTGGGATCATAACCTGAGCCGAAGGCAGATGCTTAACGACTGAGCCACCCAGGCGCCCCCCTCGACAAAGATTTTTAATGTATTTACTTTCAGTTGTTCTTCAGTTCATATACCTGTGAGAATTCCACAAAATAGAAATAACATTGCATGTGCAACTTTGTATCTTGATTTTATTTATATTATTGAAATCAAAGGTTTTGAAGAATGCATTTTTTTAGGGGAACAGTCAGGGGAGGAGAGCAGAGGAGGCACGTAAGGGGAGGAGGAGGGGAATTTCTTAACGTTATAGATCTGCTAGAAATAAAAAGAATGAATCTAGAGTCTTCTTTTTCAGTATGGTTCTATAATGTAATTTAAAAAGCTTATAAAAGGAACCCTTGTGCACTGTTGGTGGGAATATAAATTGGTGTAGCCACTACGGAAGAGAGTATGGAGGTTCCTTACAAAATTAAAAATAGAGCTACTGGGGTACCTGGGTGGCTCAGTCAAGTAAGCATCCACTCTTGATCTCACCTTAGGTCTTGATCTCAGGGTTGTGAGTTCAGGCCCTACGTTGAGCTCCATGCTGGAGCTCTACTTTTTTTAAGCTCTACTTAAAAAAAAAAAAAAATAGAACCATCATATGATCTAGGATTCCCACTTCTGAGTAGTTACCTGAAGACAATTTGAAGAGATATATGCACCCCTGTGTTCACTGCAGCATTATTTACAGTAGCCAAGATATGGAAGCAAGTTAAGTATTCATCAATAGAAGAATGAATAAAGAAGATGTGGCATATATATACAATGGATATCACTCAGCTATAAAAAAGAACAAAATCTTGCCATTCATGACAACATGGGTGGACCTAGAGGGTATTATGCTAAGGGAAATAAGTCAGACAGAGAAAGACAAATATTGTATTACTTCATTTAAAGATGAAATCAAAAAAATAAAATAAACACACAAAACAGAAACAGACTCATATATACAGAAAATAAACTGTTGGTTACCAGAGGTAGGGAGGGGTTGAAGGTATCAGTGAAATAGATGAAGAGATTTAGGAAGTACAAAATTCCAGTTATAAAATAAGTAAGTCATGGGGATGTAAGGTACAGCATAAGAAATAGAGTCAATAATACAATAATAATTCTGTATGGTGACAGATGGTAACTAGACCTACGATGGGGATCATTTCATAACGTACAAAAATATTGAATTAGTATGATGTACGCCTGAAACTAACATGATATCGTATGTCAATTTCACTTCAACCAAAGAAAATAAATTAAAAAAAATAAAACAAAGATTATAGACTCCTAGAGGATAATAAAACTGACCGAGGGTGACCAAGGTTTGGGGAATGTTAAGGCAGTAAGAGACTCTGAAGCAGTGTTGAGAGCAATTGAAAGGGCTGCCCCTGAGGTCCAGGCTCAGCAGGGAGAGGGACAGAGTAGGTGGCCTGAAAGATAGAGGAACTGTAGTAAGCGATAAGGTGAACTGAATATTCAGAAACAATGAGGAGATGGGGGGATTTGACCTTATGGTCAGGAAACACAAACTCAGAGTTAAGGATCCTAAGGGTGGAGACTTTGGAGGGAGGATGAGCTGCAAAGCTGGCTTGCTGAGGGTGTGTGGAAGTGGACTGGAAGAAAGGAAGTGTGAGGTCCAGGCAGAATAGTAATATACACTCCTGTCTAGTGACCCTTCTGGAACATCAGCCACTTGCAGGCAGGGTTTTTATATCATTCACTATCATTTCGCTAGCATTTAAAAAGTCTAGATCATAACAGGAATTTGATGCATATAACTTAAACAACAAATAAATGCAATTTGAATATATAGTGTCATCAAGCTTTGGTAATCTGCTGTATCCATTCCATAATAGGGAGACACCTACCAAACAGATGTTCATATCAGCCTTGTGGGGAATGCTCTTTAGAAAGTTCTAAATTGAGGATCTTCTAAGTGCTAGAAACAATGTTAGATGCTGAAGATTCAGAGACAAACAACAAAAGTCCTTTCTTCCAATAAGCTTAGAGAATGGAAAATACCACGTAAACCAACTAGCTAGCTGCAAGCAATGGCAGACAGCATGCTCTGACTACAGAAAACACCCAGAATTAGGTTCCAAAAATAATTCCAAAAGGAGGTAATACTAAAACTAATCTTTGAAGGGTAAATCTATCCTAGCAAAGGCAAGGCTAGGTGTGTAGGTGGGAACAGCTGGTATAGGAAGGCCCACATAATAATTTTAGCTCAGAAGAGTAAAATGACACTCTACAACCAGCTCCTTAGGTGGTCTGGCAATAACACTGTTCCCCTGGTGCCAATAACCTGGAAATCTCTAAGTAATACACAGAAGAAGCATTGTCAGACGAACTCAGTTCCAAACTTTATAAGTTGTCACTTGATACACACTAATGTAAATTTCTTCCTGCTGTAAAAACATACTGACTGAGGTTTAAGGCAGCATATAAACGATGTTGCCCATAATCCGATCACCAAATACAGCATCTATTTTCTTTTTTCCTCTCCTTGCAATAGACATCCTAATATGTATGGATAATTTTTTTAAATTGTTTTAATGATTTGATATTTCTTTTTTTGAAGGGGGAGGCGCACAGGGAGAGGGAGAGAAAATTTTTTCTTAAAGGTTTATTTATTTATTTTAGAGAGAGAGCATGTGTGTGGCAGGGAGGGGCAAGGGAGAGGGAAAAATCTTCAAGCAGACTCCCCACTGAGCACAGAGCCTAACGTGGGGCTCAACCTCAGGACCCTGAGATCATGACCTGAGCTGAAATCAAGAGTCGGATGCTTAACCGACAGAGCCACCCAGGCTCCCTTGTATGCGTAATTTTGATGTAATTTATATCCACTTTTACTTTCTTATTAAAATTTTAAAATTTTATTAAAATTTTCTGTTTATTACCATTTCAGATAACACTCCAAGATGGTAACAGATATTAAGAGCAAAAGTGAAGCATTTTACTCTGTAGAGGAGTAGAAGTTGGGATGTTGCTACTGATTCACCTGGGATACATCACTTTATGTCACTTTATGACACTTCCCCTTCTACAATATAGTGACTCGGGTCTTGAAAAAGATGGTTAAATTGAGCCAAAATATCCTCTATATTTCTACAAGTTATAGGAGTCTAAACGGTAAGCAATTTGCAACACATATTCAACAACTATAAATGTTTGATACAGTTATCCTACTTCTGAACATCTATCGTTCAAAAATAATCTTATGGAAGAAGATGCTTTATGTACCTAGATGTTTATCACGTATTATTTATAATAGTTAAAAACTGGAACCCTAAAGACTTCAGTATAAGGGAATGACAGAGTAAAGTAGTATATTTCCACATATTCTACATCATGAATAACAATATTCCACATTATGACATGTAAAATAAATACATTCTTCCACTGTGTGAAATGCTAAAAATTATTCGATTTTCTTTGTCAGTCAATGCTTTCTATGTCAGTAGTTACTGCTTCTTCATACTCCTTCCACCTTGGCCATGAAGAAAAGATACCAGTGGCTACTGTCCCTAGATGGCATTGGAGAAGCCAAGGAGAAAGAAGTTTCTGGAGAGTGGAACAAGCAGAAGAGGACTGGAGATAATGAGACTCATTAAGGGAAAATGTATTAGAAACTATTAATGTGCCATGAAAATACTACTTATAGTTGTGATGATGATGATGATGATGATGATGAATAGTCTATGAATAATAAAGTGCTTCATCATGAGAAAAAAAAATTCAGATCAAGTTTGTCTTGCTGACCACAGAACTCAGAAGATTTTCTGAGACTGAGGAAAACAAGTCCTCAGTATATTTGAATGTTTTAAAATAGAATTGGGTAGAGCCACCTTGGGTCATCATGAGATCTCTTTTATTCTGGACTTTTTCTAACTTTAAACGCTACTTGGATTTTTGCCAGAGACAACTTGTGGAATGTTCCGAGCTTATTTTGGAATTTTATTTATAAAATCGGGTTAATTTCAACAGGAGTAGTGTCCCAGGGCATCCGCTGAATGGATGGAGGCTCCACACAGTTTTGTATAAATTATCCCTGAGCCAACTAGAATGGAGAGGGCGCTATGATGAGAGTCACCCAGTTTATCCTTTCAGAGACAAAATGACCCCTTCCCAGTCTTCTCAATGTATCTGAAATCCACCCTTAGCACGTAAGCTGAAAGAAGCGCGGCAGGGGTATCCAGTCTGATCTAGCACACCGGAAATAAGCAAGCGGGGATGAAAGCACTGATCGAGATAAATTCCACAAGCCAAAATCCAAGTATAGGCCTATTTTTTTTAAAGATTTTATTTATTTATTTGAGGGGGAGAGAGAGCATGAAAGGGGGGAGGGTCGGAGGGAGAAGCAGACTCCCCGCCGAGCAGGGAGCCCGATGCGGGACTCGACCCCGGGACTCCAGGATCATGACCTGAGCCGAAGGCAGACGCCCAACCAACTGAGCCACCCAGGCGCCCAGGCCTATTTTTTTTAAAAGGTTTTATTTATTTGACAAAGAGAGACACAGCGAGAGACGGAACACAAGCAGGGGGAGTGGGAGAGGCAGAAGCAGGCTTCCCGCGGAGCAGGGAGTCCGACGCGGGACTGGATCCCAGGACCCTGGGACCATGACCTGAGCCGAAGGCAGACGCTTAACGACTGAGCCACCCAGGCGCCCCAGTAGAGGCCTATTTAAAAGTAGATCAGAGTTTCGAAGGCAGAAATTTTTCCTTCCCCAAATGCAGGAAATTAATTGCTGGAAGTGCTGAATGTTAAAAGGGAAATTCAAAGACCAAAGATGTTTCAATAATAGAATTATGAGAAAGAGCATTTTCCTAATAAAAAAGTGCTGTATGCAAAGCAGCAGCATCGGCACAGTGGGCAAAGGTACTGGACTCAACCAGACCTTCATGCCCTGGGGCCTAACTGACCTCTCTGGCCTCAACTGCCGCATCTACAAAATGGGGAGAAATGCGATTTCTGGTTGTAACTATGTATTAGTAAACAGGACACTCTGCCAACTTACCATGAATTCAAAGAGAATTAAATGTCTCTGCTTCCTCTACAGTTAAGAAGGCGTGAATGTAGCGTTAAGCTAAACGTTAATACAGGGCAGAATAAATGCAAATAAGCTATCAATGGGGATCATTTAAGTGCAAAATAACCATGATAAATGGGCTTCTTGTCTTACTTGAAGGCTGAACTCACTTTATGTGGGGGAGAAGAAACAAAATCAAATTTTTTGAATTTTGAGACTGAACCACTATTTTTCTTGACTGTTCCTTCCCTTCTCCAAGTTTGCATAGCCACAGCAGGCAAATACAATCATCGCTTGCATTGTGTTAAATTAAATTACAAGGTTACATAAAACAACACAAAACAGACTATTAAATTCCTTTCCTAACCTTCAATCTTATAGGTAGCGTTTAAATAGTTCAAGTTCACTTTTCCTTGAGTTATTTGTTTAGGGAAGTTGACTAAGGTTCACGTATGATTTGCCTGACTTTTACTCAGCTTTTCCACGTGCTACAAACAAGAGCATTTCCGCCCCAAAAGGGGAAGAGAATTAGTAATGACTTTTCCCGCATTTCATAGTGTGGTAGGCTGGATAATGGCCCTCCAAAGAAGTCCACATTCCTATTCTCCGGAACCTGTCAGTGTGCCACTTTACATGGCAAAAGAGACTTTCAGATGAGATTAAGGATTTTGAGATAGCGGGATTATCCCAGATTATCCAGTTGGGCCCAAAGTAATTACAAGGGTTCTTGTAAGAGATAACACGGGAGAGTCAGAATTAGAAGAGGAGAGGAGACAAGGGAGCAGAGACTGGAGTATTGCCATTGCTGGAAAGGGGCCATGGATCAAGCAATGTGGACAGCCTCTAAAGCCGGAAAAGGCAAGGACTAGATTCCTCCCTAGAGCCTCCAGGAGGAACATACTCCTGCAGACATCTTCCCTTTAGCCTAGAAGACCAATTTCCAGACTTCTGACCTCCAGAACTGCAAGATAATACATTTGTGTTGTTTTCAACCACTAAATTCGTGGGAATTTGTTTCAGCAGCAAAAAGAAACTAATACAATCTAAGGAATCTGAAATACACACTCTTCGGTGAGTTGCTAGTCCAGATAAGGAATTTGAAATACACACTCTTCTTTAATGAGTTGCTAGTTCTGGTAAGTGAATGCTAAAAATTCAGAGCTGTAGAAGCTGTTTGCCTGATAGATACGAGACTTACAAGATGAGCAAAATTATCCTCATCATCAGGTTCCTCATCATCTCCATGAGCTTATTCCTTTGATAACTCTTACCTTATTCATGGATATGGGCTTGATTAGTGACCAAACCAGCTTTTTTGTAAGGCCGGTGTATTCATAGGAAATTTGCTATTCCAGAACCAATGATGTTCTCCCCATATGATTTAACCAAAGGATCTGGCAATGGTCAGGCAACATCCCTGGGAAAAAACACTCCAGTTGACCTCTAGCAGGGCAGATGATGCACAGATAGCAGTCGGGGATATTTTACTTTGAGAACTCAAATACTCAGCACCCTGTCCTTCGTGGATAGACTGAGCAAGATAAAGGGTATAGAGGCTCATGTGAAGAACCTTTCAGAGAGGAAGCTTTCCAAGAGCTGCCAAGAATGAAACTTGGGAATAGAATCACAGTCTTAAACTTATTCATAAGCTATTCATAAGCTTCAGGATAAGGAGCCAGCTCCAGAACCAACTCAGAAACTGAATCACCAGCAAAACTCAACTCCAGGCTATATTTCTTTCTCAGCTGTGTGTGTTCCCTGGGCACATTATTTAATGTCTCTGAAGTTCAATTTTTCTTGTCTTAAAATGATGACTATAATAACATTTCCCTCGTACCTCATAGGGTCGTGAGGATTAGGTGAAATGAAGTCTGTGAAGGGATTAGCACACAAGTTAATAGAGGCAAGCCTAATAAACAGTGGCTTTATAGTTAATTTTTATTCTTTGAATTTCTCAAGTTGTGCTTCTCCCCTGTGCTCTCATGCATATGTGTGCCTCTGCCTCTATTAGAATTACAGACAATGAGAAAGTACAATGCTTGAAGGCAGAAACCCAGTCTCATTCATTGTTTCACCCTTAGCATTTAGCACAGTGCTTTGCCTGTACTGGGCTCTCACATTTAAAATAAATGGTTATGAACTGATCTTAGCTGTGAGTTAGGAAACACCTGAGACATCAGTTATGATATATGATTATAGGATTTTTCCATCTATGATCCACCAGGTGGTGAAATAAACTAGCATTTTTTTCTTTTTAAAGAAAAGGACTAGGGTGGAAAACATCAGAGTACAAAACACACAGTAAGGTTAAGTATTGTTACATGAAACTCTTGTTTCAGTTATGTATGGGAGTATACCTGGTTGTAATGTAAATACATTTCTTACTGTGAATAAGGGCAAAAAACCCCAAAAACCAAAAAATAACAACGACAACAACAAAAAACACCCATGAACATTCTGACTCTTCCACCTCACCAACATTTGGTATTTTCTGTCTTTTTCATTTCGGCTCTTCCAATATGTATACAATGTATGGCATTGTGGTTCTAATTTGCATTTCCCTGATGACTAGTGATGTGGAGCACTTTTTCACTGTATCTCAGCCCATTGTCTATCCTCTTTATAAGTACTTTAGAAAACTATTTGGCAGTATCTACTGAAGCTGATCATGCATTTCCGATTACTCAGAAATTCTACATCTATGCATTCACCCAACAGCAATATGTACATATGTTCACCAAAAGACATGCCCAAGAATGTTCATAGATAGCAACCTATTCATAATAGCCCCAAACCAGAAATTGCCCAAATGCTCATTAACAATAGAATGGATAATTTTGATATAGTTACACACAGTAGAATCCCATCCAGAAGCAAGAATGAATGACCTACACACAACAATGTGGAAGAATCCCACAAGCATCAGATGGAATGAAAGAAGCCAGATATAAAAGAGTACACAGTGGATAATTTCACTGACATAAGGATCAAAACCAGGCAAAACTGATCTATGGTGTGCGAAGTTAGGATAATGGTTATTCTTGGGTCACAAGGGCTTCAGGGGTGCTGGTAGTGTCCTCTTTCTTGATCTGAATGCCTATTAACATGGATATACTTGGTTTGTGACATTAATCGAACTATAAACATATTATTTGTGGTTTTCTAAATTATTTCTGAATTTATCTGAAATCTAAATATACATTTAAAAATAAAGTTTAGAAAAACATCAATATCTTTTTTTTTAAGTGTGGACAACACTGATAGAGAGCAAGAATCCCTCATTACCATCAAGTGGTCATCTAGCCTTTGCTTGAACAATTTCAGGGTCAAGGAATCTATTTACTCTCCAGGTAGGTCACTTGTTAGAAAGCTTTTCCCTTAGGCGAAGCCATAACTTGCCTCCTCACAATGTGTTCTGTCCTCCTAAGAGATTCCAAATCCATCAATTCTCACTACCACCAACTGCTCTTCAAATATTTGAAGGAAGCCACCATATCCACCCCGACCCCAGCCCCGTCTTCACTTCCCCAGACTAAAGAACCCCAGGTCCTTTGGTAACCCCTCAAGGTATGGTCTTCAATCCCCTGTGTCTCTTGATTGCATTAGTGAGGCTCACAACAGAGCACTGCCCTCTAGGAGAGGCCTAAGAAGAGCAGGAAAGAGCAAAAGGTAGAATGAT